GGGGGGGGGTTGGTGTATTTAGATAAATTTTTTCTTTAGCTCTTTTTCTTTATATTTTTATATCAGTTGTGTGTATGTATAGACATGCATTATGAATGTATTATTTTCACTTTGGTGAGAAACGTGGACAGATTCCTTTGTTGTGTATATATCTTTGTTGTGGATATTTGTGTTCTGTTTGGTCAAAAGAGAGAAAATGGATAATGGAGATGATTGGAGGATTTTGCACTATAAAAGTCAGCAAAGTGTCCAGTCAATCACAAAATACAGACTTAATTTAAGGTAGCGGTTTACATATAGAGATAGTATTCGAAAGTCATGTAGTTAGTCAGTTTGCTCGGTCTAAACTAGATGATAAAGTTTCTTTTGAGTGTCTGGTAGGACAAGTACCAGTTTAGATGGACGGTTATGACATAGTGCTGAGGCATATGTAGTCTATCAAGTTCCTTGAAAATGACCTTGTCAAACTCACAATCCACTTGGAGTTTTCGTGTCAGCATGATTCTAGTATGGTTTACTAGTAATCACTTAGCATTGATAACCTCTTTGCTATATTTCATTTTGTATAATGCTTGTGTTACGTTTTATTCATGGCGAGCACAAGACGGGTTTATACTGTAACTTTTGTAACACACTGCAGATATGGTTCTGAGTCAAACATTATCCGCTATGCAAAGATTGCAGTGCAGCTGAAAAATAAGACAGTCCGTGATGTGGCATTACGCTACCGATGGATGACTGTGAGTTTCCTTATCATTATCCGCTAAGTTAAATTGTCTTGATTTATTCAATCTGTATTCAACCACATTTTCATTATTCGTCTGCCAAAAGCAGCATAACCGTGCATTTGTCATACTATTTAATTTCTGCACAGTTGAACTAAGCTTATGTGTGATGCTGGGATATGGGGTGTTTTATCATTTGATGTTTTCAGTTTGATGAGCTGTTTATCGATCGACACAATAAGGTTTACAGTTTAATTATTTAATGCAATTAACTGCAGAAGAAAGAAAATAGCAAGAGAAGGAAGGAGGATCTTAATGCCACAAGGAAAAGTAAAGATAAAAAGGTAAATAGTTATGAAATTATTCATCTTATGTTCAATTCTAGAATTAATATGCTTACATTTTCTGTCTTTTGTGTGGATGGTTGTGCAGTGTGAGTGTAGTTTTTGTGCGTTATTTTATTATGAATAAAGATTTGTATCCAAAAACACTCGATATTCTGTAAAGTAACTTAAAGAATAATAATCCGAAAGTTATAAGTTGAATTTTTCAGATTCAGATGAAGAATCAAAATCGAATCTCAAGCTCCAACCAAATTCTAAAGAATAACATTTTTAATGGAAAAGATGAATAAAAAAGTTAACGAACAAAATTCATAAAAAGAAAATGAACATAAATGTGCCTAAACAGTAAGATGCTTGTCTTAATTGCAAGAGATGTGGGTCCAAACTTATGTCGATTTTAAAGCTAAAACTCAAGGTCTCTAAGATTTAATACCAACAAACATATTTAAACCAACTGCTATTGCAGACTCGAATTGAGCAGTATTCGTGCATATTTAAAATAATTGGATAGCAGTGCCTTTCCTTCCAATTCAAGCAGGAAGAGCCACCTATTTCTTAGAGCAAATGGCATAAATATTTGTTTGTAGGTGGACTTTTGAATAATTGACTTTATAGGAATTGAATAACGTGTTTCATTCAGATTGTTGATTCTTAAAAATTTACTATTCAAATATTATTCATCATACAATTTAGTAATGTTCAATATTTCAATGATGTATATCAAAACATATACTTATGTTGACTCCAAGCTCAGGGAATGTTAAATTCTTTTCTCAGGAAAAGTTTGTCGATCCTCTAGCAAAGCCATCTCGTTTGGGGGCCCAGCCAAATTTACTTCATGCTTCAGGAATGATTAACAATAACAATGGTGATAGCATATCGTATAATGGTTGGGACAAATCTTCTGATACACCTAGTTTTTTCATTTGGCCAATAATAAAGTAATACTATTTTTTTTTGATATGAAATATTATCTGAATGGCAGTACTCAAATTTCTTGATGAACTAATTTTACGTGTAAACATCTATGCTTGCACGCAGTTTCCTTTCTTCTTGTTGAGTTCTGATTTATTTCCTAACATTATATAATTCGAGTATGTTGAGCTGTTCTGCACGCTTGTTATAAAGGAGAAATTAGCAGTGAGATATTATTCTTTCGAGGTTGGAGTATTTTGTGTGTACGTTTGCTAATTGAACAGTACCTCTTATTCCTATCTGCTAAGTAAAGTTCTTTTTATATACTGGAAATTACTTTAGATATAGTTGCTTCACGTTATCGCGTGATTTGAAATACTTGTAGCACCTTAAAGTTCATTTTTCTTCTATATGGTTATTTTGGTCCGTTCAATGGACGTGGAAAGAGTGTGTGGAACTCTCAGGCAAATGACTTCATTATAATTCATTGTGTATAAAGTCCGTAACATATAAAACTCATAAGAGTGTTACTTAAACCGTCATCCTGATTGCGGATTTAGCTCGTTAAATATAAGTTAAAGAAATTTCAATTTCAATTGGTGTAAATGGAAACTATGTGTGAAAGCATTAATAAAATGGTATTAGTTTTAATGAAACTATAAAAATTAAATTAATGATAAATGCTTCTCAGAATGTTGGATGATTTTTAGAATTACGGAATCCTAGAATTTGAGGGGTGGATATCATAGAAATTGTTACAGAAGGGTAGTTATAAGAACAGAGAAATATCAATCTCGAGACGGAGAAAATTGAATGCTGTGCCAGCCAATTTTGAGTCTTTTTTTGTTTTTTTTCAATCCTGCAAATATATCAACACTGAAGCTCCTATAGGAATCAGTTTGGTTTATTTTACTAGTTTTACCTTCATGCCTGCTATAGTTACTGTAAAAAGTAGTTGATTTGATATTTTTGTGTAATACGATTTATTTTCTTGGATAATCATTTTTTGGGTATAGAGTGACCGTTGGTAAGTGAGTCTTAGAAGCTCGGGGTGGAAAATAGTTGATTAAACTTTATTGATAACATCAAATTGAAAGAGCAAAAAGTCATAATGAACGTTGTACAAAATCACTCTTCTATATGGGCACTGATAAGCATTGATGACAGTTTTTCTTCAGTTATTGGCATGATTTGTCTATTATAGTTTTGTTTGTGACCTATAATTTGATTTTGAATATAACTAAACCAACTTTTACCCTTTAGTCCTCGATTATGCTTGCTGAAGTGAACTCGGTTTGTAAATGCTTCATCCTATGCTTTATATATGTGCCTTTCAAGATTTTCCATATGATATCTTTGCAGTATTTTTGATAGTTAAGAAACTATTCAATTCATAGGCTTCCCAATTTTTTTTAAATCACTTGATTTATGCTTGCTTAAAACTGACTTCCTTCCTTTGTAGGCATCGATGGTGTGACTCGGGAGCTTCTGCAGCAGAACAGTTGGGCCTTCGAAAAGATATCTGCTAATTTGAACACCCATCAGGTGAAGAATTTGTATATTCATTTTATATTAAATAATTTTTCGTGACTTCAGAAACCTGAGCTAGTTCGTTTCCTTTTGTTGAGATTTGGCTGAGGCCCATCTTCGGACATAAAACAAATTTATACATTAATGTTCAGATTTGTGCATAGTGGTGGGATTTACATTTACATGGGGATAACAAGTATAGAAACAATTCTATATTTTCAGGTCATATGATCGTCCTAGATATCTAAGTATAAACCATTTGCATTAGATATTTGTCGGTCTCGAATGTTGGACTGTGTAGAGCCTAATTATGTTGTTTTCTGATCCCATAGATTGCGGATCTTCCTTTTTCTTATTATAGGGATATATTGGGTAGCCCTGTGTTTGCAATAATTTCCCGAGTATCCAACCTTAAAAA